AAATAGAAAGCCACTTTAAACCTGTGAAAAGTAGAATTTAAGACTTGAGCAAATCCATATTGTTGGTCAATGTGACTTATTTTATTACAAAATAATCATAAAGACTAAGTATTTTTATTCCAAAAAATTAAAATTATACTGACTGTGGCATGCATATTTAAGTAGTATTGAAAACTGTAGAAAAAAACAATTTAAAAATATAATCTGCATTAGATAGCAATATCAACAACCGTTTTAATGAACCATTGATATTTGCTTGCTAAAACCAGAAACATTTGGTTATCACACATGCTTTTGTCATCATCCAGTGTGAGAAAAATGTCTCCATTTTTTAATTGTCAAAAGAAGGGAAAAATTTATTACAACACTACAAATATTTTCTAGTCCTCAACAGTGTGCTTAGTTGTCACTTAATGAAACTCAGAAAAATAGTTGTTCACAACAAGAATGAATTTTTATGTATTAATACATCTGTCACATCAGGAATGGATTTTGCTGTGTTGAATTCTTATACAACAATCTAAATAGTAAGGCTTAGTGTAGCCAAAATTAAAATAACCCAATTTTGCTAATCCATGAGATTTTTTTTTCATTTAACTTTAAAGAGAAGGAAAATTACAAAGTTTAAGTAACAAATCATTTTGTTGCCTAAATTATATTTTTTAACGTTGTATAAGATTTAGCAAGTATCATTATTCCATTTTCCCTTTGTGTTCAGTGAACAAAAGTTGAGCTGGTTATAATTAGACAACATGAAATAGCATGAAAATCCACCATCCACACTCTCCATCTCCCACAAATATTTCAGAGCTCGCACGCAGCTCTGCCTAATTCATTCGATGATTAAAATCCTCTGCTTGTGGTCAATTTAGGAAGGCTAAAATGACTAGTAATGAAGCCACAGGAAATCACGTAGCCTTTAATCCCTTTAAAATTAAACCAACATGTTTAATTCAGCACAAATGCAAGTGTCTACTTCTTTAAGCCTCCAGAGCTAAAGAGAGATTTTACCCCCAAAACAAGTGAAATCAGGCTGAATGGAACATTTACCCCACGAGAAAAATAAGAATAAAGGTGGCTTTGTTGCTATGTGTCTTCTCCTGCTAGTAGGCAAGACAGATACTGCTACTTAAACAGACCAGACTAACTGGGATGTGTACTTTCACCCTAAATGAAAATATTTGTAAAGGTACCCCATTCCTGAAGTAAATGAATTCCTGAAGTAAAGGAATGTCATGTAAAACTGCTTGTTTAAAAATAAATCCCATTTTTCTTTGAACATGTAATGATCTGCAATTGTATTTCTCAAGAATTTAAATAGTTTTAAAAAGGAAATAAGAATAAACAAAAGAGTGATTCACATCCTATACTCCAAGCCCCCATCCATCCAGATTTGCTCAGTGGATTTAAATACAGTCTTAGTAAAGAACTCTACAACATTACTTAGTCTTCCTATCTTCAGTTGGACTTTGATCATCTCCCTAGAAGTCTTTGAATTGCAGTGTTAGCAATAGGTAATAATAATGATGATGTTAATAATCATCATCTCCAAAAGCTGAAGTTCAAATTAGATGAGGTAAGAGAGGATAACAGCCACCAAGAGCACAGAGCCTACCACACAGAAGGTACTTGCTAAATACAACTTCCCTTTCTCCTTCACCTGGAACAAAAGGGAAAGTTTTCATTTTCCACAAATGGAGCTTAACTAGAAAGAAGTGCCACCAGACACATTTTTAAGAAAAGGAACATTTTTGGAGAAAATAAACCACTTAAAATTGTTTTTAACTGATCTCATTTTGATTATATCACCATTGCTATCCCAAAGAAGTAGTAGTCACTATGGAAGGCTGATAAGAGAGCCTTGCAATCCTCCAAAGACTCATCAAAGTGAAATCTGAGAACACTATGAAAAAAATAGAGCAATGCAAATATTCCTACAACCTAAGCATATTTGGAAAGTGACTTTCTTTTTTCTGCTTAACTGGAAACAATTTAAGTCCAAGTGTAAAAAAAAAACAAACTGATTTTTTTGTTGTTGTTGTCAACCAACTTATTTTGAATTGCTATTTAGATGAAGCAAACCAGTGGGTGTTTTCTTCTTGTAACTTACCTAAAAACACAACTAATAAGCATAAAAATAATTTGAAGGATACGTGGAATTTAAGCTCCCAAGAATACTTAGAGGCAGTTTATAGCAGTAATTACATCAACTATTGTAACTGTCAAGGAGATTACAATAAATATGTCGCCCTCCAATGTGAGTAATAAGAATGTCTCTGCCTCAGGCAATGATGTTACTATAGGTTTGCACATCTGCTGACCTAACTAATTTATCAGAATGTCCACTTCAGTCACCTGCTTGTCCTCGGCTTTTCAGACGCAGTATTTATTACAAATGCTGGTAATCTCTGAATCTTGTGAAATGGTCTTTCACATTCTCCACACTGCAAAAAGCTCACACTGTCTGTCATAACCTTAGAAACAGAAGATGCCATTATTGAAAGGTAACTGGAAACCAACTCAGCCAAACCCTTAATTTTTACATATTAGGAAACAGAGATTTCATTAACAGAAAAAAAAAGAGAAAAGATGAAGAGATGTGCTTAAAGAAATAACACAGAAACTTGGTGAAGAAAAATGACTCTGCCTCACTAAGTCCTGTTTCAAGCCCTAACCTTCAACTGTGTTGATAGCATTGAGGGAGATATTGATATGGAAAGCTCCAGAAGCATATAAGGAGAAAGAAGCAAACCTTGGGATGTGCTCATCTCCTCACATCCTCCACAGATCCTTCGTGTCTCAGTGTCTGGATGATCTGAGCACCTCAGCAACACCAATTAACTGAAAGGGAACCAACTGGATAAACTGTAGATTTAAGGTAGAATGTTTCTCCTTGTTTCTTATTTTCACAGCTTCTTCTTAATCGTTCAAACACACCCAGTTGGCAGTGCCAGAGAAAAGCATCAGTGGGCTAAGCTAACCCAATTCACAGTAGCACATCTAATGCAAGACAAAATGTGGAAGGTTTCCCAACCCAACTCCTAATCCATTCTGGAATGCTTGCTTCTCTACATCCCAGATTTATCTATAAACACCAAAGATTCTAATTTCTAACCTCTTGAAGATGCATAAAATGACGCAGAAATACTTATCATATGTATGGTCATGAAAAGGGAAAACAATTTTTTCATCAGATGGCCTATTTTGGACAACCATTAGAAAGTGGCATGAAAGTCAAACTATTTGGAAGTTGTGTTTTCTTATTAAAGTGCGAGAAAGAAAACAGTCCTGAAGATTACAGTCCAGATATTTTCCAAGTGGAAAAATGTTGGTTTCCATATAACATTAGCAAGTCAAGAGAGCCATATGAATTGTAACAGGTAACAACTCCCCACCCCTAACTAAAAAAAAAAATAAAATCAAAAGTGGTTATCTTATATTAATATAAATACGAAGAAAACAAACAATTTGGGATTAAGTAAATGATATATACCCTGAATAATTTAAAATACTCTATTCTACTTTAGACATAATAACACTTAGAAACCTATTCATTTTGGTTCCTGTGGGGCCTTGGAACACACACCTTAAAAAAAAAATCCCACCAATAGAATACATACATATATATATTCCTGAAAAAAATGTTTCCTCAAAACTCTTCTCCCAGTTTAAATTCTAAAATGCATGACTTGAAATTTATGTTTATATTTCTAGTATCTATATCTATAAAGTTGGAAATTGGTTTTGCAAATGACTGAACAAGCCCTCAGAAACTAAAGAGCATATTTAAAATTTCAGATTTATAAGTGATATAACAAGTTTAATCACTTAAGTCTGTTAATGATTTATAGTGAAAACAACTCAAACTTCTGGTTGGTCTAGTTTTAACTCCTCTTAATTTTACACATTGTTTTATGAGCCCCAAGGGGTTAGGTAGGCATCTTGCGGATCACTCCATTGCTAGTACCTCCCACAGCCTCTGTGGTTTGCGGTAGATGCTGTCTGATCTGACTTACATGGAAAATTCAGCTGCGAATATTTTTACGCAATAGCAAGAACAATCAGCCTTTTTTATATCAAGGTGGGGATCGAGAAGCTAAATGAGAACATTAGGAGCATAAAATTAGTCTGCTTTAACTTTAATAACCAAACGGTGATTAAAAACATACAAGTTTTGTGTTTGCAGGAATGAGGGGCTGGGATCACCAGACTTAAAGGGTTTTTCTCCCCCACCCCGCGGCCATGAGCACACAGCAAAACTAATAAAATTATGACCCAGAATTAAAAGGTCGCATTCATTTTCAAAGCATTCATTTAAAAGTACAGAAGCGTTCTTTAAAGATGCCCACATTTTTAAACATAGCAAGAATGTGGCTACCAAATATTAATCCTGAGGAATATGAATACACATTTACCTTCATAATTAGACCCAGCAGGTCAAATGTTAGCAAGGCCAACTGACCTAAATCACAAAGACTGATTGAAAATGACCAACAGAAAGTGTCTGTCCGGCTTGGGAGCCTCGCTTGTTCCCAGCTCAACCAGTGGTCAAACATCTGCAGGCAAAGAAATCTACACGCGCCAGCCGGGTATGGCAGAAACAAAACTTTTCCAAATTAGTTCCGTCTTGCCAATCTACACCCAACAGGTGTCAATACATGTCACCAGACAAAATTCTTGCGAGCCAGGTCTAGAGAAGCAATGGGTGGCTGGCAGAGAAGCTGAAACGACTCGACGACCTCTACCAGGGTCCTGAAAGCAAGTTGGGCCACTATTCTGATTGATCACTTCGCAGTGGGGTGGAGGGTTATGGAGATGGGAGAATCCCTGGATGAAGATGGGGAGGCGCGTGGAGATGTCCCGCCACTGGTGCCGCGGGGGGATTTCGGAGCATGGTCCCCGCACTCTTTCACGGCCCCCGACCCCCGATCCCCGGGTTAGGACGGCAAGGGAGTGCAGCGACCAAAGCTGGGAGACCGCGGAGAGAGGGCGCGCGGTACCTGCTTGTCCAGCGCGTCCCGGACGCCTCCTGGCCCGGCGCCGGCCCTGGGTGGCGCGGGCGTTCGTTCGCAGCTGCAGCCCTCCAGGAGGTACATGCCCGCCGGGCGGCAGCTCTGCTCGCCCTCGAAGTAGAAGAGCACATTCTGGTAGAGGGCGAACCACTTCTCGTGCCAGCGGCTCGCCTCGGCCGTCTTCTTACTCAGGAAGCCGCGCTTGGTGCCCTCCTTGCGCGCCAGGAAAGCCAGGTACAGGGCGTGCCCCTCGTTGTAGCGCACGCTCTTCTGCATGGTGTGGGTGCTGGGGGGGCGCGGGCGGCTGCCCGTCTCACCCCTGCCTCGCGGCCATGGTCCGGCCGGCTCCCTCGAGGGCGCGCCCGCTCAGGTCCCGGCCGGCGAAGGGCGCCCCCTTTCCCCACGCCGCGCGCAGGGCACCCCGCCCGCTTTCGGGAGGCGGAGGCGCGCGGTGCCAGGGGCGCGGGCTGGGGCCGGGCACGCTCTCCGCCCTGACCGCCACCCTCCCGGCCGAGTCCCCGGAGGCCCCCGAGTCCCCGACGCCCGCGTGGAGCGCGGCCCCGCTAGGGCTCCCGAGCCGGCAGCCGCTTCGCCCAAAGTTGCGGGAGCCGAGCCCCCGCGGCGGGCTGGGGCGGCAGCCGGGGAAGGACTGTCCTCGGGCAACGCGCTCCGGGAGACAGAAGGTAAAACGTCACGTGGGAGCTCAGCTGTAATCGGCTTGGAGACAGATTTAAAGGGCAAAGTCGGCGCGGCGCCGGCGGTGGCGCAGCCCGCTTGCCCCGGCGAGCGTCCCTCCCTAGCCCGCCCCGGCCGGGTCCGCTGCCTCTGCTCTGGCGCCCACCGGGATGGGGCGGATCGGGGAGTTGGAGGCGCCCGGCCGCACCACACACCCGCTCACACGCGCTCGCACACTCGCGCACAACGCGCGCACACACACACACGCACACCCACACACACACGCAGACCAGTACATTCACCCAGATCCACAACGCACGCACTCAGACGCACAAAAATACACTCACAAATGCATACAAACACAATGCGCGCACATATGCACAAAAACACTCGCACACACTCATGACACACAAATACACATTCTCACAACGCTCACACTCAACACAGTCACAACACACAAATACATATAGACAAATACAGCCACAATGTGCGTTCCCGCACACAAAAATACATACCCACATTCAGATACACACTTAAGGAGCTACACACATGCACGCACTGATATGCTCACTCACACACACATTCACACACAACCCACACATTCACTCAAACTCACATGCAAGCATATACTCATATACACATTTACACACATTCACACAAACAGCACACATCTACTCACACGTTCACAATCATACATAGACTCACAAGCAATCATACACACACAGATGAACACACATATGTACATTCACAAATACACAAATTCACCGAAAAATACAAACACACACAAACACAAACACCCACACAAGTATTCGCACGAATCTACACACTTTCACAAACCCACTCACACATACACACGCACTCACATGCCACATCCATAAGTACGTTCCCATGACAGTAGGTGGAGTCACAGAGAGGCTTTGCATAGCCCACATCCTTGGCTTTTCTGCTTGTACCTGCATTGTAGTATTTAAAACTACCGGTAAAGGTTAACAAGAGTGGCCCAAGTGTTCCCGGAAAGGCATCAGATGCCGAAGCTTCTTTCGGAATGCCTGTTATTTCACAGTGGTAAGATGCTAAATTTTAAGTGCCAAGTTTTCAACCTGGAAAAAATACCCAAATAAGGGACACTTTGCTGCCCAGGGCAGAATCCATCCCCAAAGGCCAGCTGTCACAGGCTCATCGTTTGTAGGACTGGATTCATTTGATTAACAAATCTGACAGGTACAACCAGAAAACCAAGAGCCACCCCCTGCCCCAACTCCATGCTGTAAAATGTAAGTGGAAAAGAAATAATGTACCCAGCAGCTGTGAGAGAAAGCCAGTGAAACCCCCGGGGAGTGCCTGTATTTGATTCTGCTATACACATTTTTGATTCCCCCCAGTCATTTATCACTAAAACGGAGTGCCATCATAAAATGTTTATTGTTAAAAGTAAATAATAATGCTTTTCTGGGTGATGAGTCTACGACAATACACCTGTCTTCTACTGCCAGTTGTGTGTTCATAAATTGGTAGCCCCAGGGGTTCTGCCTGTTTCATAAGTGCTGTTTCTGCAGAATATTTTAACTCTGCCTCACTGAGCAGCTGAGTGGGTTTTTTTTTTTCCTTTTACCTTTTTAAAAAATGTTCACTTTTAACAACTATATAATAGGGAAATTGCCATTTTGAAATTACAGTGTGAGAACAGTGGTCATTTCTCTTTACATTTTTAAAACTATCTAAAGGACAGTGCTGTGTTAAATTGGGTTTAACCCAGCTGGAAGCTTGCATTGTTCTTCAGAGGAGACACAAGTATAGAGATAGTAAGTAAATGTAGGCAACATTTTGGAGCCAGATTCTAGATGCAGAGGAGCTAGTGATTGCCTCAGGAGGCCTTTTATTTCTTTCTCTGTGGTTCGATCCCAGCTCTGAGAACCATAAGTGAGTAGACACCTGTGTGGTTGATAAGCTCCATTTTTTAAGTAGAAACCAGTAAGAGTGTAAAATCAGCACAAAAACTATTTTGCCATGAGTACTCAAACCTTCTAACCCACTTCTTGAGTTTTTTCAGATGTGAAAGATTCTCTTCTTCAATAAGCAATGTCTCACTTACCATCTCTGTCTCCTTAAATGTGCTTTTCATTTGAACCACATGAAATATTTACAACCTCTTATCTGACATCATTTCCTACCACGGAATGTTATGTGGCCCTTATATGCCACCCCACCCTGCTCTGCTCCTGGACAATGAGAGAAAGGAGTACTTGTTTCCTGCAAAATTTGGCTGGTGATTACTGTGGGTTTTAATTATGGAAATTCACTGCAAGAACCATTTATTGATCACTAGTTTATGTCCTCAACACTATATTTAGGTGATGTAGAGCCTATAGAAAAAAAGCATTGCCTGTGTTCCTGGTGTGCTCAGTCTAACAGGAAGAGAATTTCTTTATTTTCTTTCTTCTTTTCTTTCCCTTCTTCTCTCTCTCTCTCTCTCTCTCTCTCTCTCTCCTTTTTCTTTAGAGAGAGGTTCTTCCTCTGTTGCCTGGCCTGAAGTCATAGCTCACTGCAGCCTCAGACTCCTGGGCTCCAGCAATCCTCCTGCCTCAGCCTCTAGCGTAGCTAAGACTATAGGTGTGCACCACCACACCTGGTTAGGTTTTGTTTACTTGTGTAGAGACAGAGGTCTCACCATGTTACCCAGGCTGGTCTCAAACTCCTGGTCTCAAGCAACCCTCCTGCCTTGGCCTCCCAAAACCCTGGGATTATAAGTATGAACCACCACCCAGCTAGGAAGAAGATTAATGTTTAGGTGCTTCTTCTCACCTGTCTGTTTCTCAAATGCAGGTCTATCTCCCTAATCCCTGCAGCACCCAGTAGGAGAGTTTATATGCAGTAGGCATACAAGTTTTTCAGACGATTATTTTCTAAATTAATTTCTTATTTGGTCATTGAATTGTTAAAGGGGGCATAAGCATTTGCAAATATTAGATCATTCTGCAAGACTGTAAGAGATGAAAACAACCAGAAATTCCTGGACAGTCTAGAGAAGCTATCTCTATTAGGTGTATGATGGGCACCTGGGAGACTTTAGTCTCCATTCATATGGAAACCACATCCCTGGAATGGTGCCATCCTGAAACACAAGGGATCAGGAGGTTATGTAAATAAGAGTGCTTTCCCCCAGCTAATCAAATAGATTGCCAAAAAGAGACCGTGTACCAAGTGGATGGGAACAAGCTTCTCTGAATTCATTGTTTTTCCTTCTTGCATTGCATGGATTCTTTCTTGAGGGGGCCAGTTTAAATTTTTTTTTTTTTTTTATGGGCAACAAAGCATGTGATCACAGTGCAAGTGGCCTCTTTCCCCTTTTCTAGATAAGTTAAGGGGGAAAAATAGCAATGAGCTGTCATATCTGGAAACTCTACTAAATAGAGAGGGAGACATTATTCAGATAATTGGATGAGAAAAGGAAGGAAGGGAGGGAAGGAGGGAAAGAGGAAAGAAAGGACGGAAGGCGGGAGAAGGGAAAGGACGGTGGAAAGGTGGGAGGGGAAATTTTATCTAAATTGTCTAAAGCTTTGAAGTTTAGGGGAGTGGGAAGTGCACAACCTAACCTACAGCTTTTCAAAATCCCTAACTCATGCCTTATCATTCAGATGCACAAGGTAGGTTTTCATTTTTTTTCTTTCTCCTAAACTCTGTTTTGTTAGTAAAATGTAAATGGGTTGCATGAGTTTCTGCAAGGACTTTTCCCTGTGGTTTCTGTAATTCAGAAATGCATCAGCACTGTGTTCTTGGAGGAAGATTACGTCAAACAAAGCTGTCAGAGGCATTTGAACCAAAGCAACTCCATCTTCAATAGGAGCCGGGTAAAATGAGGCTGAAACCTACTGGGCTGCATTCCCAGACGGTGAAGGCATTCTAAGTCACAGGATGAGATAGGAGGGCAGCACAAAACACAGGTCACAAAGACCTTGCTGGTAAAACAGCTTGCAGTAAAGGAGCCACCAAAACCAAAATGGCAACGAGAGTGACTTTGGTAGTCCTCACTCTACGCTCCCACCAGCCCCATGACAGTTTACAAATACCATGGCAATATCAGGAAGTTACCCAATGTGGTCCAAAAAGGAGAAGCATGAATAATCCACCCCTAGTTTAGCATATCATCAAGAAATAACCATACAAATGGTCATAGAATGGCTGTCTATGGAGTAGCCATTCTTTTATTCCTTTACTTTCTTAATAAACTTGTTTTCACTTTGCACTGTGGACTCACCCTGAATTCTTTCTTGTGAGAAATCCAAGAATCCTTTCTTGGGGTCTGGATTGGGACCCCTTTCCTGTAACAAAGCCACGGTGTTACCAAGATCCTTTTCTTGGCCTGACAGAAGATCACTTGGGGAACTGTCATTTTGAGGGCTTGTAGATGTGGAAAATAATACATTTAACAATGCAGACTCACCAATAATCCCAGACTGTTTCTACAAGATACAGTGTTACCAGTTCTGGCACATATATGATTCTGTATTCTCTCCTGATACTTAATTAGTAAAGCCAGATTCTTCCCCAAGTAGGTAAAACCTAAAAGGATTATTCCTTCCTTGTTTCCAGTATTATTTTGACCAAAAAGAATTACTTATTTATGAGATACTAGAATGAACTACTTAGAGCTAATAAAACCATTTATCTGGTGTCCATATGATATTTCAACTTACTTAATGTTCTAGATACCCAAAGCTTGTCCTTCAAACACTGAAGATAAATGAGCTCTGCATCTCTCCGGTCTAAAAAGTGAAGAAAGTGTAGCATTTTTTTGATTTAAGGTCACTATTCTGAATACAATGTGTCTAGGAGCTAGACCAGAGCTAGCCTCTACTCTTTTATGCAAATTAGAAAAAGGCACGCCCTCTGGGAGGATGAATTAGGGAGAGCCTTGGGGCACACACAGCCTTGAGAACATGAACCTGATGAGTGGATGACATGACACCTTCATGTGACTAAAAGGTGCCCCTCCACCTGGATGGCCACAGCTCTGTGCAGGGAGCCCTGTGCAGTGACCAACCTGTGCAACTGAGCTCAACAGCTTGTGCTGTGTGCCTCTCCATGGGTGGCCACATACAGCTGTGCCTTTAGAGTTTCTATAGCTGTTCCACAAACCCAACTGCATCCTTTACCCTTTCTCCATCCTAACCTTCTAATTGCCATCTTCTGTTTTCTCGAAGACTTAGGCTATGAAGCTTTTAAGAACTTTGTGAAACTAAATATGACTTTATTAAACATAAAAATGAGAAGATCTTGGAGAGTCCTCTAGACGGTGAAGTATGTAATCTAGCTAGGAGTACACCAGAATTGTTTTGACTGCTGGAGATGATTTCCTTTTGGCTTCTCAGGCATGCTCTGAACATATAAGGTCTGACTACATGAATATAATGATTCACATTATATACAGTAGTATAAATTATGCATGCATTACTTTTATACTTTAGTGTCACCACAAACAGTATAGGCTATGATATACAAGGAATTCTTAGAGACCCAAGAAAATACTCGTGATTTGGTGGTAAGTAAAAACCCCTTTCTATTCCCCTGCTTCCCTTTATAGCAAAACTTGCCCTTTATAACATCTCTCTACACACTGGGTCTACTTCCTTCTCTCCATTTTCTCCTGAACTACTTCATTCAGTCTTTTCATCCCCACCACCCCACTGAAACAATCCCCACAGTCACCGTCACCTGCAGTCCTCACAATGCCAAGCTCAGTGGTCAGTTTCCAGTCTGCACGTTGACATCGCAGCAGCATTTGATACAGCTGAACACTCCCTCTTTCTTGAAACACTCTTCTCACTTAGCTTCTGGGACACCACACTCTCCAGCCCCTTCCTGCTTCTCCTGCTGTGTCCTCACTTTCTCCTGGCTGTCCCCCTCCTCTTCCCAGCCTCTGAATAGTATTTCACCCCAGGGCCCTCTCCTGGGATGTCTTCTCTTCTTTATCTACATCGTTTTATCCACTTCATGGCTTTAAATAAGCCTCTCCACCCCGCTCCTTCTCTGAACTGCAGACCCGTGTGTCTGCCTACTCAGCATCTCCTCTTGAATATCTAGTAGGCATCTCCAACTCAACATGTTCGAGACTGAATTTCCCTGCAAAAAAAATAACTGTTCATCCCACAGTCTTCCTCATCTCAGTATATGGCAACTCCATCCTTCCTTTGCTTAAGTCAAAAACTTGAAGTCATCTATGAATCCTTTAATCTTCTCTCACTTCAGTCAGCTCTACCTTCAAAGCATATACTAAATTAAACCACTTCTCACAAGCCCCATTGCTACCCCCATCCAGCCCATCACCATTTCTCACCTAGACCACAGGAATAGTCTACCAGCCGTCTCCCTGCATTCACTCTTACTCTCCTACTGTCTGTTCTCCACTGAGCAGCCAATGAGAACCTTGAAAACATAAATCACTATTGTGCCTCTTCTCTGCTCAACACCTTCCGACATCTTCCCATTGTACTAGAGTAAAACCCTATCCCTTTTTCTGCGTGACCCTATCCTCCTTTTCCTCTGTAGCAACTATTGCTCCCTGACATTCTAGTATGTATGCTTAATTGCTTGGTAGCTTTTGTCTCCCTCACTGTTATATCCTCAGCAACTAGAACATTCCTGAATATTATTCATAGTAAGACTCCATGAACATCTGTTGAATAAATGCTAGAAAAGAATGACACCCTGTCAATTCAAGAAACTTCTTGTTTTTGAGAGAGAGAGAGTCTTGTCCTTGGCCCAGGCTGGAATGCAGTGGCACGATCTCGGCTCCCCACAACCTCTGCCTCCTGGGTTCAAGTGGTTCTCCTGCCTCAGCCTCCTGAGTAGCTGGGATTACAGGTGCGTACCGCCACACCCGGCTAATTTTTGTATTTTTAGTAGAGACAGGGTTTCATAACATTGGTCAGGCTGGTATCGAACTCCTGACCTGGTGATCCACCTGCCTCTGCCTCCCAAAGTGCTGGGATTACAGGCGTGAGCCACTGTGCCTGGCCAATTCAAGAAACTTCTTTTCCACAAGAACCTTAATCAAATACTTTCCAGGACCAGCCCTTATACTTTCTAACCTGCTCCTTGACTTTCTTGTATCCCTTTTTCTCATGGAATTTTACAATTCGCCCCCTCCCCAAGTTCAGCCTCTGGAGGAATCTAGAGCTTCCTTCAGAGCTCCTTGTGATTCTAGAGTGTGATGGAGACTGTGAAGTGCTGCTACAGTCTCCTCCTTCAGAATGGGTGACTTACTCACCCTCCTCACCTCATTATTCCACACTCTACTATTAGAAGTTCTACTAGCAGTCAGCCCTCTCTCGGATTGTTCTCTGCAGAAGACAATCACCGCACCAAGATCATGTCTCCCCTTTCTGAGGAAGCCCACAGACGATGACTGGCCATATGGACATAAAAGGCACAACGCCCTCAGGGGAGCTCCGACTCAGACATCTCTGAAGGTCTATGGGGTCCAGCACAGCACAGAGTGGGGTGTTACTTTCTGCTGGGAAGACCCACTTCCCAATCAAGGGAGCATCTGGTCTGAGTCCTGAAGGGTGGTTGGTTAAATGACAAATACGCAGAGCTGGGGAATGAAGGATTTTTTTTTTTTTTAATACTTTAAGTTCTGGAATACACGCGCACAACGTGCAGGTTTGTTACATAGGTATACATGTGTCATGTTGGTGTGCTGCACCCAACTCATCATTTACATTAGGTATTTCTCCTGATGCTATCCCTCCCCCAGCTCCCCACCCACTAACAGGCCCCGGTGTGTGATGTTCCCCGCTCTGTGTCCAAGTGATCTCATTGTTCAATTCCCACCTATGAGTGAGAACATGCAGTGTTTGGTTTTCTGTCCTTGTGATAGTTTACTGAGAATGATGGTTTCCAGCTTGATCCATATCCCTGCAAGGGACATTAACTCATCCTTTTTTATGGCTGCATAGTATTCCATGGTGTATATGTGCCACATTTTCTTAATCCAGTCTATCATTGCTGGACATTTGGGTTGGTTCCAAGTCTTTGCTATTGTGAAGAGTGCTGCAATAAACATATGTGTGCATGTGTCTTTATAGTAGAATGATTTATAATCCTTTGGGTATATACTCAGTAATGGGATGGCTGGGTCAAATGATAATTCTAGTTCTAGATCCTTGAGGAATTGCCACACTGTCTTCCACAATGGTTGAACTAGTTTACAGTCCCACCAACAGTGTAAAAGCATTCCTATTTGGAGAATGAAGGATTTTTAACTAAGGAAGCTATGAGAATGAAAGACCAATAACAGAAAAGTACAGGGTAGAGGAAGTGTCGGAGTTTACCGTGGTTTGAGAGAAGAAAGTATGATGGGGTATGAGAGACAAAGGCGTAAATGGAGGTAGAGGTCAGATCACGGTGGCCTGCAAGGCCCTATATACAAGTAGTCAAAATGTCACGACAGGTTTTTGAGCAGGGAAGCATAGTGGCCTTGTATCGTCTTGCGCCCCTCCCTTTTTCCCCTTCTGGCCACAGTCCTGCCCTTCAGAGTGTCTGGTTCAAAATGGAGCTGCCACCTTTTTACAGGCCCCACCTCCCGCGTCACAGTGATTGGCCTAGGAGTGGGTGCCTGATTTGGCTCCATCAAAATGAGCTGTTTCCTGGGATATTTGAACTAAAGACCTGCAAGATCTAGTCTCAGTTCGTCTCAGAGCTGCATGTTGTCCAGTGTAACCATAGGAACTGCCGAGATTGTATGAGATCATGGGCTGTGGAATCAGACAGTGGGAATTCCAATCCTTGCTCTAGTACATATTTATTATGAAACAGTGAACAAATCACTTAACCTCTTACAGGCTCAGCTTTCTCATCACTAAATTGGAGATACAGGTACCCCTGGAGGTATTTTTAACTACTTCCACAGTACGTGACACATGGTAAGTTTTAACAATGGTGAGGGAGGAAACATTTGGATGTTTCCAGTCAAATTAGAGGAATCAATGAGTCTTGTCTACCGATAAGATATAGAGGTCAGAAGATGGAGGATGGGGGTGAAGCCAGGACGGCTCTAGGTATCTGGTCTGAGCAAGAGAACTGATAACAGTTGATATTTGGGTTTGACTTTAAGGGAACTGTGGCCTTTCTAGATGGAAAGAGGTACAGTGGCATCTTGGAATTTCTAAAATAAAATATATATGTAATATCTTTTAAAAGTCATCTGCCTGGAAATGGAGACGAATCCTTTACTTGATTTATGTACGTTTGATTGTCACATCCACCTCACAAAGTAGGTATTATTATCATGCCCATTTTATGGAATAAAAACAGGTTCAGAGAAGGTAAGTAACTTTCCCCAATGGTAAAGCTTGTGAGTCTCAGAGGCAGGATTTGAACCCAGGCCTGTCTGACTAGAGATCCATCCCCTTTATTATAGAGTGTTTCTCCTGTGTTGCCTGGAAGTGTGAGTAAAAGCTGACAGCATGTGCCATGTGCTTCAGCCCTAACTCTGTCATTTATTATATTGGACAAATTACTTATTTATGCCTCAGTTTTGATGTTAGAAGTGGAGGTAATAATAGGACTTTCTTCCTAGGAGTTTATGAAAATTTAATACTCAGTTAATATGTGCAGAGTGCATAGAACATGGTCTATCACATACTAATGACATCATTAAATGGGACAGGATGAGACTTTATGTATTTATTTATTTAATTTGTGAGACAAGATCTCACTCTGTTGCCCACGCTGGAGTACAGTGGCACCGTCTTGGCTCACTGCAGCTTCGACCTTCCCCAGGCTCAAGTGATCCTCCCATCTCAGCCTCCTGAGTAGCTGGGACTACAGACAAGAACCACCATGCCTGGGTAATTTTTGTACTTTTTGTAAAGACAGTGTTTTGCCATGTTGCCCAGGCTGGTCTCAAGCTCCTGGGCTCAAGCAATCTGCCCACCTCGGTCTCCCAAAGTGTTGGGATTACAGGAGTGAGCCACCGCATCTGGCCCAGGGTGGGACTTTAAACAGAAAAAGGACATGAGCATGGAGCTCTGGCCTGAGCAGGAGTGAACAATGCTACATTGAAGAGAGAACATTAAAGGAGACCCAGCTCTTGGAGTGAGGCCTTAAGCTTTGGGAGTGAAACAGTGACCTCCCATTAAAATCCTTGGAGTCACAAGGAGAAACAGAATTCTAGAATTGGACATAAATCTGTTCATTCTTATTTTCCTATTTTTGGCTACCTGAAGAAACCAACAATATTTGATCCCTAGGTATTTTGAAGTTCACCATAAATAACATCACTTGGTTTAGAAAAGTGTTTATTCACTTCCTCAGAGAATGGATTATCTAATTACATGTCTGTGTTTACATGGAACAGGTAGTCCAGTCCATGAAAGTGTGAGAACCATGAGCCTAGTCTCGATCTCAGGAGTCACCTGAGGAGACTGACGCTAAAAATCCAAGTCGCTAATCAAAATATTAGAAAAATCAACTCATGTTCTAGACTTGGAAGCCCAACACTTACATCAACTCTCTCTGAGCAGAGCCAGCTGTTGGCCCCTACAGGTGACAGTGAGGTTCTGACACAGGAAAGGTCAACAGGTGTCCCAGGACCGTATCCACCTGGTTAGAAGCTCTGCTGGGTTTGGTCTGGGGGAGACCCACTGCCTCAAGAGAATTTACTACAGGGAAAGCCCCCTGGTTAACCATGAAGATGTGATATGTTATATCAGCATGAAGATAGAGGGATATCGTAGAAGACCTTATGGGGTTTGTAATGGGGAAGGTGGGCAGGGGAGGTGGGAATAAATGTTGCAACAAAGTACAAAATATCTTTTCTCTCTTGTGTGTGTGAAAATGTGCTCTGTGGGGCACTAAAATCCTACCGGTGTACCCCCATGCCCTTCCGAGATGAGCTCCGGGAGATGTATTTTTGCGTTGCAGTCAACATGCTGATAATCATCTGCATCATGGATCATGTACTTAAGGCTGAAAAACAGCAGCCTTTTCTATCCCATCACGGAAAGGGCATTTTGAACCACATAGGCTATGTCCTTGGTAATAAACATCGAAATAACCATTTGAATAAAGTATATGTGTGTAGCATGTGATTTTACAGAATGCTTCCACATGTGTTATCTCATTTAATTCCATTTTTGTACAAATGTGTTATACACTTGGGTAATTCTCGGAATTCTCTGCATTTCACGCATTTGGGGTAGGGGCAGAGAGGTAATGGCACTCAGATGACATCAGGGCCTGTTTGCTTTATGGCAGTAATGAGCGTTTGTAGGGCACTTCACAGTTTGTGTAGAGCTTAAATGTACTTATTAGACCTCATTTGATCCTCACAGTAACTTTATGAGGTAAGATGGATATTGTTCCTACCATAGACTTTAATGCATAATATTAACTGTCTTTGCTTCTCTGCATCTAACTCTAGACTGCAAGTTCCACAAGGATTATCGCTTTTTGATACATTTTTCACTGTTTCATCAGAGTGCTCAGTAACTCTTTGTTTAAGTGACTTTGATAGTATTATAATTGCCCCCATATTTGTGATCAATGAAGAAACTGAGGCTTTCAGGATTTATCTTGCCCAAGGTCACACAACTGGGAGTGAAAGCCCTAGAATTCACATCTTGTCACTGTCACTGCCTATCCAAATGGTCACAAATTGAGGCTATCTGGCTGATAAGAAGTCCCTTTATCCTGCTATAATTTTCTTGGTGGCTCTGTGTCATTATACTGGACTCAGTTTCCCCTCAAGCAGGTGCAGATGTAGATGGCATAGGGCATCTATAGCTGTAGACCTTTGCTTAGGCTAGACTTTGAAAGATTTGAAACCTTAGGGAGAGAGGTGGAAAAGAGTTGGGGAGGCAGTGACAACGATTTGAAAACTACAACCAATTTTCTCTCTCCTAGGAGTTGGAGACTTGGAATCCCCTTTGGTGCAGAAACTATTCCTTCATGAGAAGTCCTTAAATAGGCTCTTTAGGTAAGAGATATAAGAGATATAAAGCAAATGCCCTGTGGGAAAAAACTGAAGGAATCCAAATATAGGTAGTTTGGCTCAGAAACATGTTTCTGTTTTGTAATACATGTTATTATGTGCATAGCTCCTTGATGGAGAGCAATTGATTTTTCTTCTGGCAGGGGCTGGTGAAATATATAAATGAAAACACCACTCTTATTTCTTGGCATGGAGAGGACTATATTTGCCAACCTCTCTGCCATGTAACTGGGTTTTAGCCTAAGGGATGTAGGCAGACATGGCGGGCACCTCCTTATTAAAGATCTGGTCATAATCATCTCTACCATCTCTTCTTTTTCTTGAAAAGAGAAGAGGCCACATTTTGAAGGCAGCAGGGTCACAAGATGGAAGAACCAGGGTCCTTGCATCATCGGTTGGCTTCAAGTTGCCCGGGGGCAGCCTAACCCACATGGAATTGTGACATAAGAAACAAAGCAACTATTGTTTTATTAAATCAATGAGATATTGGGCTTCTTGTTATAGCAACTAGTATAAATTGCCCTGACTGATACATTATGGATTTAGAATGCACTGTACTACAACTGTTTGTTGTATTTTCAAAAACAGGTTTATTGTGGTATAATTGACTTACAATAAACTTCATATATTTAAAGAGTACTATTTAATAAGTTCAACATATTTGTATATCCATGAAAGCATCACCACAATCAAAATAAGACACATTTCCATCAACTGAAAAAGCCTCCTCATTCTCCTTTGAAATCTCTTCTTCCATAACTACAAACCACTGCTCAAGGAAATAAGAGAGGACACAAATGGAAAAACATTCCATGCTCATGGATAGGAATAATCAATATCATGAAAATGGTCATGCTGCCCCAAGTAATTTATAGATTCAATGCTATTTCCATTAAACTACCATAGATGTTCTTCACAGAATTAGAAAAAAAACTACTTTAAAATTCATATGGAATCAAAAAAGAGCCCTTATAGCCAAGACAATCCTAAGCAAAAAGAGCAAAGTTGGAGGCATCACACTACCCAACTTCAAACTATACTACAAAGCTACAGTAACCAAAACAACATAGTACTGGTGCAAAAACAGACACATAGACCAATGGCACAGAATAGAGAGCTCAGAAATAAGACCACACATCTACAACCATCTGACCTTCAACAAACCTGATAAAAACAAGCAATGGGGAAAGGATTTCCTATTTAATAAATGGTGCTGGTAAAACTGGCTAGCCATAGGCAGAAAACTGAAACTGGACCCCTACACCTTATACAAAAATTAACTCAAGATGGATTAAACACTTAAATGTAAAACTCCAAACTATAAAAACCCTAAAAGAAAATCTAGGCAATACCATTCAGGACATAGGCATGGGCAAAGATTTCATGACTACAACATCAAAAGCAATTGCAACAAAAGCAAAAATTGATAAATGGGATCTAATTAAACTAAAGAGCTTCTGAAAGAAACTATCATCGTAGTGAACAGACAACCCTACAGAATGGGAGGAAATTTTTGTAATCTATCCGTCAAAGGTCTAGCATCCAGAATCTACAAGAAACTTAAAGAAATTTGCAAGAAAAAACACACAATCCCATTAAAAAGTGGGTAAAGGATATGAACAGACACATCTCAAAAGTAGACATGTATGTGGCAAAAAAACATGGAAAAAAGGCTCAATATCACTGATCATTAGAGAAATGCAAATCAAAACCACAGTGAGATACCATCTCATACCAGTCAGAATGGCAATTATTAAAAAGTCAAGAAACAGATGCTGGCAAGGCTGTGGAGAAATAGGAACACTTTTATACTGTTTGTGGGAATGTACATTAGTTCAACCATTGTGGAAGACAGTGTGGCGACTCCTCAAAGATCTAGAACCAGAAATACCATTTGACCCAGCAGTCCCTTTACTGGGTATACACCCCCCAAAATATAAATCATTCTGTTATAAAGGTACATGCATGCGAATGTTCATTGCAGCACTATTCACAATAGCAAAGACATGGAATCAACCCAAATGCCCATCAATGATAGACTGGATAAAGAAAATGTGGTACATATACACCATGGAATACTATGCAACATAAAAAGGAATGAGATCATGGCATTAGCAGGGGCACAGATGGAGCTAGAAGCCATTATCCTCAGCAAACTAACACAGGAACAGAAAATCAAACACTGCACATTCTCACTTCTAAGTGGGAACTGAACAATGAGAACACATGGATGCAGGGAGGAGAACAACACACACTGGGGCCTGTTGGGGAGGCGGGGAGAGGGAGAGCGTCAGGATAAATAGCTAATGCATGCAGGGCTTAATACCTAGGTGATGGGTTGATAGGTGCAGCAAACCACCATGGCACATGTTTACCTATGTAACAAACCTGCACATCCTGCACATGTACCCCAGAACTTAAAATAAAGAAATCTCTCCTTCCTACCTTTTCTCCCCCATCACTCCATGCAACCATTGGTCTACTTTGTCACTGGGAGTTAGTTTGCATTTTGTAAAATTTTATATAAATGGACACATACAGTATGCACTCTTTTTGTCTGGCTTCTTTCATTCAGCATAATGATCTTGAGATTCATCCATTTTGATGAGTGTATCATTAGTTTGTTCATTTTCATTGCTGAATCATATTCTATTGTATTGCATTCTATTGGATGGGCATACCACATTTGTGTATCCATTCACCTGCTGATGGACATTTGGGTTGTCCTTTGGGTTATCCCAAGGATGCTAAGATTTTCTTTCTTTATTTATTTTTTTAGAAGTTTTCTGATGTTAGCTCTTACATTTCAGGCCTATGATTCAGTGGTGTTAGGTATTAGCTGAAGTTAATGTTTTTGCATAAGGCTATCTAACCATTCCAGCACCATTTTCTGAAAATATTATTTTTTCCCTAATTGCCTTGGCATCTTTGTCAAAAATCAATTGGCTGTACATGTATGGGTGTATTTTTGGACTCTATTCTATTCCTTTGATATATATATATGTGGATATATATATGTGGATATATATTTATATGTGTATGTGTATGTGTGTGTGTGTGTATATATATGTATCTCTCTCTCTCTCTCTCTCTCTATATATATATATATATATATATATTTATTTATGTATTTTTGAGACAGAGTCTTGTTCTGTTGCCCAGGCTGGAGTGCAGCGGCATGATCTCAGCTCACTGCAACCTCTGCCTCCAGGGTCAAGTGATTCTCATGCCTCAGCCACCTGAGTAGCTGGGATTACAGGCACATGCCACCATGCCCAGCTAATTTTTGTATTTTTAGTAGAGACGAGGTTTCACCATGTTGGCTAGGCTGGCCTCAAACTCCTGACTTCTGATGATCCACCCACCTCGGCCTCCCAAAGTTTTGAGATTACAGGTGTGAACCACCACGCCCGGCCAATGTATATCTTTACATATATACCAATCCACATTAATAATTTTTCTTTACACCAATATTGCACTGTTTTGATCATATTAACTTTCTGAAAACCCTTAAAATCAAGTTGCGGCCGGGCGCGGTGGCTCAAGCCTGTAATCCCAGCACTTTGGGAGGCCAAGGCGGGTGGATCACGAGGTCAGGAGATCGAGACTATCCTGGCTAACATGGTGAAACCCCGTCTCTACTAAAAATACAAAAAACTAGCCGGGTGTGGTGGCGGGCGCCTGTAGTCTCAGCTACTTGGGAGGCTGAGGCGGGAGAATGGCGTGAACCCGGGAGGTGGAGCTTGCAGTGAGCCGAGATCATGCCACTGCACTCCAGCCTGGGAGACACAGCGAGACTCCGTCTCAAAAAAAAAAAAAAAAAAAAAAAATCAAGTTGCTTAAGACTTTCAGCTTAGTTCATTTTCAAAATTATTTTGGCTATACTAAGTCTTTTGTATTTTCATATGCATTTTAGTTTCAGTTTGTAAATTTCTAACAGCAACAACAAAAAATCTTAGCTAGACACACTGGCAAGCACCTGTAGTCCCAGCTACTCAGGAGGCTGGGGCAGGAGGAATGCTTGAGGCTAGCAGTTCAAGACCGGCCTGGCTAACATAGACCTAGTCTCTAAATAAATAAATAAATTATAAATGAATAAATAAAATAAGAATTAAAAATTTTGCTGGGGTTTAATTAGGATTGGGTTGAACCATCGGTCAATTTTAGAAGAACTGACACTTTAATGATATTGAATCCTCTGATCCATAAGCATGGCTTATCTCTTCATTTGTTTAGGTTTTCTTTAAGTTCTCTCAGCTGTATTTTGTGTTTTCAGTGTACATATCTTGCACGACTTTCACTAGTCTTATCTCGACGTAGTTCATATTTTTTGATGCAACAGTAAATGGTATGTTTTAAGTCATGTCATGGTTGTTCATTGATAATATTTAGAAATAACATTGATTTTTATATATTGGTCTTGTACTATACAACCTTGCTAAATTCACTTTTATAAATTCTTATAACTTTTTTGTAGATTAGTTAAGATTTTCTACACAGGCAATCATGTTGTTTGCCAATAAAGATAGTTTTATTTCTTCCTTTTATATCAGTATACCTTTTATTTCTATTTCTTGCCTTTTGCTACAGCTAGGACATCCAGAAGAAAACAAAATGTTAATAGAAGTAGTGAGTGTGCATATCCTGCTCGTTTCTAATCTTAGTAGAAAAGAATTCAGTCTTTTCATGATTATGATGTTAGCTGGATGTTTTTCATAGATGCTCTTAATCACATTGAAAAAGCCCCTACTATTCCTGGTTTTCGGGGGGGTTTTGATCATGATTGGATGTTTAATTTTGACAGGAGATTTTTTGATGTTAATATGGTTTTCCTTTTTTTTTTTTTTTTTAGTGTGGTAAAGTAATAATTGATTTTTCAGTGTTAAACCTTGCATTCTTGGGGATCAACTATTTCATTATGATGTATTACCTGCTGCTAATCCCCATTCAGTGTATTTTTCATCTCAAACATTATTCTTTCATCACCAAAATTTTGATTTGAGTTTTTTTCTTCCATTTCCCTCTTCATCATGCTCATGCTTTCCTCTCCCTTCTACAGCATATAGGGGATACTTAGAAAGGCCATTTTAATGGCTCTGTCTACTAATTTAGTCATTTTTGTCATTCCTGGGTCTGCTCTTATTGGTTGCATTTCCTCCTGGCCATAAGCCACATTTTCCGCATCTTTGCCATTTTTGGTTAGATGACAGACATTGTGAACTTTACCTTTTGGGTTCTGTTGTTGTTTGTTTGTCATAATACAGTCCTTTAAATATTTTCAACGTTGTTCTGAGACTCAGCTAAGCAAGTTGGAAATGGCTTGGTCCATTTGAGGCTTGTTTTTCAGCTTTCCCAGGTGAGTCCAGAACAGTCTGGGTTGGTTCGGCCCACCCATCTCAAGGCTCTACTTCATAGTCCACGTGCTAGGAGACCTTTCCCTTCTAACTACTAAGAGCTGGCGTAAGCGCTGAATATCGTTCCCTCTGCTTCTTTCTGGAGGTTCTTTTTCTGGCCATAGCAATTTTCTCACTTGCATTAGCTGATGAAGACTCAGCTAGACTGTGGGAGAACCTCTTGCAGATTCAGAGCATTCTCTTTATTCAACCGTCTCCTTTCCAGCAATCTGTCCTGTGTGTTCT